CCCCCGCCAGGCCGCCCGTTCGTCTCCGAGCCGGTCCTTCTGGGAACTGAGAGCCCTGCCATGGGGGTTTTGAATTGCAGACTGCGGAGCGAAGCCGGACGCGTAACGACGGCACTAAGCCGCCAGAAGCCCTTTGCACATCGAGAGGCATAATCTAGGCTGCTCCTAACTCCCGACTGGGTGAAGCCAGTCTCTGGCATTCGCTGTTCCAAGAACCAACTCGCTAGTAATGATTGATTGGTTTCACACCATTAGGTTAAGTGACCTAGATTCGTCTCCAAATGATTTTTGAAACCCACGATGTATAATCTCCAATTACTTTATTTTTGAATGGCAACGATGTGTTTTCTAAGGATCTCCGCTGACAATAGGTGAAACCAGCCTATTCATGTCACGATAGTTTGGTTTGAACATAGCAACACAGTAATTCTTCACCTGATAAATCGAGATTCCCCTCCCAAGGAAAAAACATAGGCACAGAACAGGAATACTTTTTGCCTGTTTTGGGAACTTCTTCCATTTTCCGGAACTCATTAATTTTAGGGGCTCAGTACCCACTTTAAGAACCCATGCTTTATTCAGGAGTCTGGAAAAACAGTGGGTAAAATCAGTGTTTTACAAATGAAAAGGTTGGTGGGTGGTGACTCCCACACTTAATCCTACAAAAGATTTCACCAGATTGAAAAAAAATTAATATTCAAGCATCATTTCCCATACATCAGTTGTATCAAGCACATTTGTACATTGTTGCCATCATTCATTTCTGGACATTTACTTCCTATTCAGCCCTTGTTATCAGCTCTTTTGTCCCTCCCCACCCCTTGATGTTATAATTTTCATCTTACATGGACTGCTACCTCCCTTTCCCCATGGTTTCTGTTGTTCGTCCCCTTGGAGGGGTATGTGTGGTTGTGTCCGTCATTGCAATCAGTTCCCCCTTCCTCCTCTCCCCACCCTCCTGGTATAGCTACTCGTTATGTTCTGTGTGGCGTGAGCGCTATCTGTATCTGTGCACATGCTCCTGTCTAACCTGCAGTGAAAGGCAGTACTGGGATCATGGTAGTGAGATGTAAAAGCTAAGACACAGAATAAAGGTGGAATTGAGACAAAGAACATGAGGTTAAGAGAGGCTTTATTAGGGTAGGGAAAGAGCTCCCTGGAGGGGGAGAGCAGAGAGAGGGACAGGAGCATCTTGAGCTCCAGGGCAGGTTCCAAGAACCGAGTTAGGTCAGGGAAATCTCACCTGTTGGTGGGGCAGTGGGATATTTATAGGATGTGGATCAGGGAAATATGCAGAGGTGAAGAAAGCTGATGGTGCTTGTGCTGATAAGCGGGGAGGCTTTCTGGTGCTGCAGTTGCAGTCTGAGTGTTTCAAGGACCAACTTCTTGGAATGTTGCGGAAGAGGCTGCAAAGTCCAGCTCTGGTCTTCGGAGGTTGGCGTGGGGAGAAGGGGCCCGCACAGTCCAGCAGCTATTTTCTGAGGGCTGGGGAAAGGTGCTGCACAGGCCAGACCCAGCTCAGACAGGTAGTGGGGTGGTGGTGTGAGGACGCCTCAAGGAACCAGAATATTGTGTGTTTCATCGGTGCTTTATTGTGCCCTGATTGACTCATCCCTTCCCTGTGACCCCTCTGGGAGGGGATGTTTTGTACCTGGGTTACCTAAACCAGCTAAAAAGATCTGATTTAATTGTTTTAAGATGTTTGTGGATGCCTTTCGAAGCAGTGAAAATTCACAGTACTCTGAATACTACTTTAGAATTTCTGAGTTTATTCCTAGGGAAGTGAGGATTAAGACGAATGAATTTGGATTGAGATAGTGCAGTTTACCAGAAATGGGACATTCTGATATTCTCGAGATGTTGTTGGCTGCAGCCGTGGATTTCAACTTAGTGACACCCTGTGCCAGAGTACTGTCCCGGGGGTTTTCTTGACTTTCTTCTTAATGTGAGGCTGGTGCAGCGTTTTGTTCCATTCCGTGAGTCAGAAAATGAACAACTGCCAGAGTGGATGGTTTCCTAGGGACCCTACTTAGGGTTTCTAAGGCTGCCAATCTCTATAGGTGTAGACACCCTCATCTTTGTCTTGTGAAGCGGCTGGTGGGTTTGTAGCATCAACCTGTGGATAGAACCCAATACTTAGCTCACCGCACCACCAGGTCCCGTTCTTTTCACGAGGTGATATTGTGGCATGATTAAGAAGCCAGGTTTCTTCAGCGTCTTTTAACTCTCCCCTCTCCCAGTAAGTCCACTTGCTTTCAGAAGAAAGGGACAGAAAGTCAATGAACCTTTTAGACAAATACAGGTATAACTTCGTTTTATAGCACTCAGCTTTTATTGTGCTTAGCAGATACGGCACTTTTTTTTTTCAAGTCCAAGGTTTGTGGCAACCGTGTTGAGATTGGCACCATTTTGCCAACAGCATGTACTCACTTCGGGTCTGTCTGTCACATTTTGATGATTCTCACAGTACTTCAAACTTTCATAATACTACTGGACACTAATCAACTCTCCGCCCACTGCCAGAGTTGATTCAGACTAATAGTGACTCTTATAATGCTATTGTACAAGTAACAGACTATAGTATAGTGTAAGCATATTTTTATTTTGTAGAGAACAAAAAAATATATGTGTGACTCGCCTTTACTTCAGTACTCAATTTTCCACAGTGGTCCAGGGCAGCAAGTTTGGGTTTCAGTTTACGCCTGTAACACAACTTTAGACCATTTCCTTTCTGTCCCCATCATGCTGACTTAAAAAACTGTTGTAACGTCTCACTATGGAAGCACATGCTTACTTTTTCTTTGGAGTTTGTTAGACATGGGGCAAATCTGCACACAGAAGTCCTATTTGTGTATAATTGTAATTGTTTCATGCTGTTGTGCATTGGGTCTTTATGAGTCGGAATGGACTTGAAGACGCCCAACACCAGCCTAATTATAAAACATCAATGACCTGACAAATTGGAAAAGGGAAATCGAGTCTCTAACCACGTTTCTGTTCTCTTTAAAACCTAAACACTGACTCTTTTTCCTGAGCACAATGTGTTCTGTAATTAATTTTACGGGCTACTACACTAGCTTTTATCCAAGGGCTTTAATGTGAAAGCATTAAAATAGTTTCATGGTTGACTTAGTTGCAAAACCCTAGTGGGAGTTTACAACAACTCTAGTTGAAAGCATAACCCTAGGCTTTCCAGTGCATTTGGAGTTCTTAAGATGGACCAGTAAGTCTTTAGTAATTACTTGCATTCATTTCTAACTGACCCACCTTTTCTAAAACCTGAATACTGAAACTCACTCAGTGCTGTAACTTTACAGGAAGCTTCATTTTCCTTCCATGGAGAGGCTGGTGGTTTCCAACTGCTGACCTTGTGGTTAGCAGCCCAACACATAACCACAAATGCAGAGTGAATAGCTTTTCAAATACTGAAAGAAAAAAAGAATTACAAGAGAAGGAAATGCAAAAAGCATTTTTACAAGTTTACAAGTCTGTTTAATGGAGTCTATTTGACATAAGTCAAAAGATAAAGAAGACAAAAAGACCGTGTGAGCAAAATGAAAGGAAAAAACAAAGAAGAACCCTTTGCTCACAACCCAGGAACGTATTAACTTGAAGGCCTGCTTTTCTTTCTTAGAAGGTGAATGCCAGTCAGAATGACTGCTTTGTTTAGATTGCTTGTCAATAGGCAAGAGACACCTGACACTTACTCCATAAAACCAAACATGAAAGACATGGAAGTTCAAAAGTTGAGTAAATGAGAAACAACAGCCGGACACTTTCACAAAGACAGCGGGCTTTATGTTGGTGGGGTTGGTTATTTTTCTCTAAGCTACTTTTCTTTACATGAAGTAGACCAGTTGCTTTCTGAGAGAAGTTAAAAGCTACAAATACTGATAGTCTAAAGGACATCATCCTAGATCCTAACACCGTTAATCTGATAATTGATCTCTTGACATGTTGGTAGGTTTAGATGTTCTAAGTGATTAAAAAAAAAAAAAGGGCAGTGGGGTATGGCCTAATCAATAAAAAATCAGTGAGCAAAATTTAGATGTGTTGGATTACATGTCAGATATAATTAACTCAACTGTCTGAAACATCAGGACAAAGCCTTCCCTTGCCCAGAAATCTGAAGCGGTATTTAGTGGGCTGAGATGCAAGCGTTGGGCATATTTCCCCTCCCTTACTGCTATATATGGCACCTGGGAGAACTGAGTATCTGTCAAAGGAATATTGGAATTATCTTTGTAAGAGAAGACTTCAAAAACTTCGTGGACCAACTCCATTATTTTCCGTATGAACTTTTTGAAGCCCCCTCATAGAATATTTAAATTTACAAATCTTATTTGAAATGCAACCATTGCTTCTTCTAGGAACCTGGACACTCTTTTCAACACAATCGCTTCTCAAGAAAATGAAGTGTTGCTTCTATGAAGATGCACGAGTGGTTCCGCCATATGTATTAAATGGCTCGGAGAAGTAGTTGATGCTTGGATGAAGGTAGAAGACTGCACCTGTTTTAGGGGAGTTATCTTCAGAAATCTTTCTGTAAATCTAAAATGGAATAGAATTTTATCAAAGGATAGTAAAGGAAAGAAAACACAGATTTATTTTCACATCCTGATTTGCTGAATGCTTCCACTACATTCGTATCATGCAGAAAAACTTGCTTTCACATTGCTGAAGCCCACGTCAGACTTGGCTTTAGTACTAAACAATGATTATGAAGGACTGTGAGCTGGAATGACAGCTCTAGCAAGGCTTTCTAAGTTCAAAGTCATCACTACTCATTCAATGAGCACATCACAGTTACCATCAAGTTGGTTCTGGCTCATGTGTGGTAGTTTTCATGGTAATGACCTTTCAGCAGCAGATTGCCAAACCTTTCTTCTGAGGTGCTTCCAGGTGAACTCGAAGAAGAGCTTACCCATTTGCACCACTTGGGGGGCACACTCAGTAAGCACATAGGATGGAGCTTCAAAATGCTCATGAAAAAGTGGAATTAAAAGAATGTATTTTTTCCAAACTTTTGAAGCCCATTTGTATTTGAGTGGTAATAGGATTTAAGCATTATCTACTACTTAAGCCATTAAACATGTAATTAAAAAAAAAAAAGTTGAGAGAATCTTTGAATTTGTATAACAGTGCCACAGTTTTCTTAAGGTGTTCATGAACTTTTGCTGATTTTTGTCCTCCTTTTGGCTTATACACCCAAGTCCCTCACATTCAAAGAACTCTTCCTTGGACCTTCCTATCTTAGTTACTGTGTACAACCGGGTTTTATCACTTCATTACTACATCGAACACTTGAACATCTCTTTGAAACCTTCCCCTTGCTTCGGTGCCATTTAAAAAAAATCTTTATTTTTTGACATTTTTTCATCATTCCACTTATAAGCCTCAGGATGGTTTCAGCATTTATACCTTTCACAGATCTTTGATGCTACTGTCTACAATCACTCAACTGGTATCCTGGCTGTGCTCTCGTCCCTACCGCTCACCAGACGTACAATTGCAAAGTTGATCTTACTACGAGAAAGCTAGTCACGGTACTCTTTTTCTCACAAACTTTCAGTGGCTTTCCTGCTCCAACTGAATTAAGCCCCAACTCCCAAGTCTGGAATTTAAAGCCATCTAATGGTGCTATTTGGTGGCCTCCAGAGCAAACGGATCACATTTCTGCCTCTAGGGCTTTGCTCCTGCTAGTCCTTTTAGAATGAACACTCTCTTTCCCATTCTGGACCTTTATTTCATTAATTTTTGCTTATGGCAATCCTACACTTACATAAAGGCATGGTATCTGGCATTGGGAATTAGAATTCTTACAGCATTTCACTTAGAAAAGTTCAAATACCACTTGTTTCTGTTGAAGGCTTCTCAGATTCCCTCAGTCAGATACTATCTTTTTCTTAGCATTCTTTATTTTGTACCAGGCTAGTAACTTCTTAAGGCATCGTATGGAGTTAGTCAATATAACTCATCTCCGTTCCTATCCCTGATCTTGAATGAATATGTGTTGAACTGAATTAGGGGACCTCAATTTTCATAAACATTAAGGATATAAAAGAAATCAGTAATTTGTTTGGGGACAGCAGACTAGAGTCCCCAAACAGTTCACTTGCTGGATACTTTAAACTACCCCTGCTAACATCCAGACAGATAAAGGGAGAGGCCATAGGGTCTTACCACTCTTCTTGAGAAGTTCTCCTTTTCGGGATTTATCCAGTTTCTCAAGAAACTGCTCAAAAACTTTCACATAGGGAGCTAGACTGGTCTTCTTATAATCTAAGTTAGGAAGAACATACATTATAGTTAGCATTTTGGCAGCGAGAACAACAGGCAAACATAATCTTCAAGTTTCTTATAAGAATTTTCTAGAGAGGGGGAAGAGACGGAAAAAAGGAGCTGACACCAAGGGTCCAATAGAAAGTAAATGTTTAGAAAATAATGATGGCAACATATGTACAAATAGGCTCGATCCAATTGATGTATGGATTAAGAGCTGTAAGAGCCCCCAATAGAATGATCTTTTAATTTTTTTTTTTACAAAAAGGAATTTTCTAGAAAGTGTTGCCCAGTGAAAATGTTGTTGACCCAGAGACCCTCTGTACAATAGAGCGGACACTGCCTGGTGCTCCACTCTCCTCACAATCGCTCTGTCCTGCAGCCACAGTGTCAGTCCATTTCCCCGAGGGGCTTCCTCTTTTTCACGGATCTACTTCACCCAACAGGATGTCCTTTCCCAGGGACTGGACTCTCCTGATAAAAATGTCCAAAGTACAGGAGACAAAGTCTCCTCATCTTGGCTTCTAAGGCGCACCCTGGCTGTACTTCCAAGACAGATTTGTGTGTTCCTCTGGCAGTCCATGGTACTTTCACGATTCTTCACCAACACCAGAGTTCAACGCACCAGTTCTTCTGAAGTCTTCTATATAAATTGTCCAGCTTTCACATGCATATGAGGTGATTAGAAATATTCTAGTTTGGGTCACACGTATCTTAGTCCTCAAAGTGACACGCTCACTCTTCAACACTTTAAAGAGGTCTTGTGCAGCTGATTTGCCCAATGCAGTGCTCTAGTTCAGTGGGTCTTAACCTTCCTAATGCCGTGACCCTTTAATATAGTTCCTCATGTTGTGGTGAACCCCACTGTAAAATTATTTTCATCGCCACTTCATAACTCTAATTTTGCTACTGTAATGATTCAGGCAACCCCTGTGAAAGGGTCGTTTAACCCCCAAAGGGGTTGCGACCCACAGGTTGAGAACCGCTGCTCTATTTGATTTCTTGACCGCTGCTTCCATGAGCATTAATAGGTATAACACTAGAAACACATAATATATTCTTATAGGCATATGAAAAAATAAAAAAGCTGGTAAAATTAATTTTAATAACATATTTTATTTGTAAAATATTACCACTTTAATGCACAGGGAAAATATTGCAGTATTTTGTATTCTCTTTTTTTTGGGACACCAAGTCTTTGGAACCCTATGTGTATTTGGAACTTAAAGCACATCTCAATTCAGATGTCAACAAACACTTGATCTGCATTTAGATACATTTTTTAAAAAGTAGGTTTACACACTTGTTGTAAACAAAGTTGTTCCAAACATACTTAAAAACTTTCCAATAACTGAATTGAGAATCAACTTTAAAATTTAAATGAATTAAAATAAAAACTTTAGCTTTAATATCTTATTATCTGAAGATGTTATAGTTGTTTTTAAATAGGGTTTTTTGGTTCTTTTCATTGTTTTCTCCAAATTTCTTTTTCCAGTTTATTTTGATCTGTCTTCTTTTAAATTTTATTGTAATCATTTCACAAACATTAATAGTGGAATGTACTACGTTTAGATATTGTTAGAAGTGGCATAGAATAAGCAAGAATTGAGCCATTGGCCTGCGATCTTCCTGCTTCCCAATTCACCTTTCTGTCTCATCACCATGCAGCTATGTAAGAAGTCTCTGGCTAGCATTGGACACATGGACTTAAATTGGACCGGGCTGGGATACCTCCTAGATAAGATTACTTTTTGATATAAAAGCTCTTTCTTATACATAAAAGTATGTCATTGGTTTTGTTTCTCTAGATAATCTGCCTGACACATCAGACCAGCCACATTTCAAGTGCTCAGAAGTCACATGTGGTTCACGACTACCATACCGGGCAGTTATATACCATAATGTTATAGGTATATAGCATTTCTATCATCATTGCAAGTCCTTTGGATACTTTTGCTACAGAATGTTGGGCATTCAAGATTTTACTTCCACTATCAGGAAGAGTTACACATTTGTCAGCTCCTTCAAAATCTTGATCCTAGACTTCAATCACGGTTAGACTGATTTATCGTAAACCCCTCTGTATACCTCATAGACAACTCACTGCCATGGACTCATAGTGACCCTGTAAGATAGGGTAGAATGGCCTCTGTGGGGTTTTGATACTGTAACTCTTTATGGGAGTAGAAAAAATCTCCTCTTTCTCATGGAGCAGCAGGTCATTTCAAACTACTGTCCAAGCGGTTTTAACAGCTCAACACATAACCACCAGGGCTTCTCATTATAGTCAAAGCAAAAGCAAAAGCACGGCTAACATAGTAATTAGGAAATAGTTGTTAAATCTAAGAGATTGTGAAACTTAAACACCACCACCAACTGATACTTTTATCTTACAATACAGACTCCTGCATTTAGAAGTTGATCAGTAACCAACTTTTTACGTAATCAGTAACCAACAAAATCAGCATACAATGAGTTGGACTGACTTTATGGCACCTCCCGGCCATGTAATAAAAGAGCGAAACGCTGCTACATTATTTGTTACAGAGCAGGATAGACATTGATACATTGTGAGCTGAGCCCAAGGGAAATGAATTAATTACCAGAGTGACAGACAGACATCTATATAAAATGTCTGAAGTAAAGTGAGACTTCAATATCTTAACCGACCTCTGGTTCTAGGTCTGACATCAGATTCAGCTTCATTTTCCTCTTCATTGGTGGGAATGATGTCTAATTCACGACAGATGGAGCTACAAATATCAGAACAGGAGAAACTTAACATTGCTTTTTAACACCATTACTCAATGAGAGTAACATTATGAGAGCAACATTAATACCACAAGATTGTCCGCAAAAAAAAAAAATCATGGTCAAATAATTTTGGAATAGTTTATTGTAAATTTTTGGGAGTTTCCCATGCGTATTAGCATATTAAAGATGAAAAACCTTGCAGTAGTACAAACTTTTAAGGCAGCAGCTCCTAAATTAATTTGGCCTGAAAACCCTTTTCGTGCTTAACAACTACAGCTGAGACACTTTGTGTTCCGTGAACTCACAAGGAAATGCTGCTTTACTGGGGTACTCCTCCTATAACCTCAGAGCAAAGTTTCCACAACTAAACAGACTTTCTATACAACTACTTCCCTGGAAGGGATCTAAATCCAATCTACTTCTATTCAGAGCAACAATCACGAACAATCTTAATGATTCAGAACGTACCTTATGGTTGGAACGGCAAATGGATCAAACTGATCCACCTTTTGTACATCAATAGGGACAGAAATACGACCTGGAAGAACCAAAAGTTATAAATTGGTGACAGTGGGAAAGAAATCATTAGTCTTGTTTCTACAAGTTAGTTTTGGTTACTAAGCTTTTACCTAATGTTTTGAAAAGTTAATATTAAAGCACTTTCACATTAGCGATACTTATTTCTCTTTAAAAGCAACAAAACAAACAAACAAAGAGGTGTTAAAGACTCCTATGGCTCTTATCATTACTTTCACTTCTATGGCTCTTCTATTCCTAATATCCTCCCATATTTTAAGTTCAGAACAATACGATATTTAGTGCGTCCTGAAAATTGAACAAAATTGATGGAAATAGTTCTTTACATCAACTTGGTTTATTTGCAGAGATCAAAACACACTCTACAGGTTGGGCATCTTTAGAAAGCATTTTGAAAATAAAATAGACAAGCCTTAATTACCCTTTTACAATATCCTCACCTGGTACACAATATAAATCCATCACATCTTAAAAATGATATAATGATTCTAAAGGCTGCCAGGTGAGCACGAAGTAAAATAATGAAGGGAATTGGGAGTGTTTGTTTGCAGAGAGAAAAAACACTGGTCAGCTCAATATGAGTGGACAGGCATGTAATCAAAATGCACACACTTCGGAGTGACAAGCACCAAAACCTCGAGTCTAAGAATAAATGAAGTCTTAGGATTAGATATTTAGAAATACTATGCTTCATACCAAAAGAAGCTAAACACACATCACTGATAGAGGGGCTATGTAAATAAATGTATGTATTGGCTATTACAGAAGGCATAGGGTTATTATCGTTTACTAAAAGAGACTAGTAGTTTTGAGAGAACTGGATTTATGCCAAACACTTTTCTAAACTTTTACATTCGATATTAACAATAATATGTTAAAGTAAGTATTACCATTACATTAATTTTTATAATGAGAAAACTGAGGATTAGAGAGGTGAACCAATTTGCCTAAAGTACCAAAGTGAGCAAGTGACAAGGCTGGATTGTTTACACAAACGAGGACAACTATACACTTTTCTATTCTGTTCTCTGGCTGGCTGGAGTTAGTTTTTATTAGGGGTTCATACAACTCTTATCACAATCCATACGTACATCAATTGTGTAAAGCACTTCAAAATTTATTTTAAAGCTCATTTTGGTCTGCTGAATCATCTTTAGGAGACATGTAAAAGGGTAAAGCTAAAATGACTGAACTCTCTTCCTAGCTCTGACTGTTTTATCATGGCGACCAAGTCTTTTCCCGTGTACATGGAAGTCTTCTCATGTGTACACGAGAACTATCAGACTGGATTTCTAAGGTCCTCTTGAACCCTTCATGCACCACACAGCATCAGCTCACGGGGAACATACTTAATAGTGGCAACTGATGTGTCACTATTTAATTGACTGGGTAAAAAATGATTCAGAGTAATTCTTTACCCTGTCCTATCTCGGAGATCAGACGTATTCACACATGACAGTATACATGCTAAAACAAGAACAACTTTCATTGTTCTCTGTCTTTACTTTCTTTACATAGTACCTGTTTTGGGATGAACACTAAAGGGGCTCTTCAGTAAATGATTGATTCCTTTGCTGACGTTGATATCCAGCCGTGGGAAGCAGTACTGGAGCATGATCTCCCACTCCAGCCAGCAACCATGTTTTTCATTTTTGTTGGTATTCTAAAAAGAAACGTAAGTCCAGCATGAGGATTAGAAGGAATTTTTGAGGATTTCTTTAAAGGTTAAAAAGCAACCTTTGACTATGTTTAACTTACTGTGCGAAACAATCAGGCATTGCACTGCTATATCTTAATATACATTTCAGGGGTGCTTACCTGATATTGACTGGCTGATTTCTTCAAATGTTCCCAACGCTGAAGTGAACTGTGGCACGTCTGGAAGCGTTCTTGAAGTTCACCATTCATTGGTAACAGGTCTTTAAGGAACACACACATTCAAGGCAAGCCGGTGAACAACCTAGCTTTCGGTATGCATTACCACAAGAATAGCTAAGGCTTATAACTACTTAGAAAGTAACTATTAATGTTCTCCAAAGAAAAAATGTCAAACAATTATAGCCACAAAAATATCCTATGTGGAGATATGAAAGAGAATGCAAAAATTAAGTTTAATGTAAAAGCTTCTCTGTACATACTTTAACAAAATGATTCAGCAACTTTTTTTAATAGTTTTTTTAAATTTTATTTTTATTTCCAGCAACTTTTAAATAGCTGTTAATGTTAATTTCCCAAATGAGGAAATTGATTTGGGAAAGGGCTTGATTTTTTTATTGGATTCCATTCATGGAAAAATGAAATTAAAATTGGAGAATGGAATTTTTACATGACCTTTTCGAAGCTCCTTTGTGTAAGAAGGGTGTGTAAAAAAGATGATGTTTTCAGGAACGAGCTTATGGGGATATGCAGGCAGAACAAAGATAATTAGCTCACATGTATATGGTCCTGGGAAAGGATATTTTCAGGAACAAGTGCTAGAACCTTATCCCAGCTTGCTTTATTTTCAAGAATATCTTGACCAATCAAGGCATAGTCTTCAAAGTATTTTTTGATTATGCTTACAGATCTTCTGTAGGAAGAGAACTCATGACATTACAAACAGTTAATACGGATATAAATGACATTTATGGTTAATGACATTACAAACAGTTAATACGGATATAAAGCAGCCAGCCCACAATAACAATACAAAGGGGCTTCAAAACATTCATGAAAAAAACGTCATTATATTTTCATTCCACTTTTCAGTGAACTTTCTGAAGCCCCTTCATACGTAAGTAAGTGGTACAACATGGGAGATAGTCTGAAGTTTCTACTCTCGAATTGCTTGCTTTAACATCTGACAATGATAAAGCACTCTGCACACATTATTCCTCACATTTACTGATGCATTTACGTCCACTTTGCCACGTCTTGTGAGTTAGGTGGGGCAGCTCTTGTTCTCTCCAGGATGCAGAGAAGGAAACGCACCGGTATTTTACAATGAAGTTGAGTGAGCAACAGAACAGAGGCTCTTGCTCTCAACCCAAAGCTCTTTTCACCCGTCCCGAGAAGTAGTACGTTCAGTGGAAACAGTCTCGGGATTCAGGCAGACCAGGACTAAATCCTGTCCTCTGTGCCAAGCAAGTGTCTCTCTGACACTTCATTTTCCTGAGCTGTACATGGAGATCTCATCATGTTCCCCATCAGGCTGGTAGGAAGACCAATGAGAATATTTACATAACCTCGATCATCAACAATACAGTGCAAGACAGGCACTCAATTACATGAACTATTACTACTGTAAAATGAGGCCTCTGCAGGGAAAATTGATAGCAGGGTATTTCTAAAAGACTGTTCGGGTAAATCTGACACAACTCAAATTGGGTCTTTCCCAACGGACCTGATGAAAGGGTGGATTTTTTCGCCGAGATGAACTTTCTTTTTGACATCTGCACCACCCTGAAAAATAAGCCATCAAATAAGCAAACACCAATAACTTTGTATCACATGAGCTTCCTATAACATCAAATAATTTAAAAAATGTACTTAAAGGATTCTATGCGAAAATATATATAAATGCAAAGATATTGATTAAATTGTCAAAGTCTGGAAGCATGGACGTTATATTAGAGTCTCAATACCGGTAACTTTCTCTGTTTATTTGACATAATTGTTAGAGGAAAGTCAATGAATCTTCCTTTTGCCACAAACAATGCCTATCACAAAATATCAGCTATTTAAAAGCATGTAGCTGCTACAAGATTAGTTGATCTATTAGTAAAAGGCTCTATTCTGGATATCTGACAAAGGATGCAAATTCTCATGAAGGCGATCTTACCTTTACAAGACTCAAATACTCAACTATTCCAGAACGCACCGCAGACGATAACTTTCTCACTGATTCATCACAGACCCAACAGTGAACACCTCTCCGTCCAGAATACACCCAGAGACGATGCTTAAATCCAAAGTCCTCTGAGGAGGAAAAGAATAGGTCTTACAACAAATGGACAAAGTCCTGGCTCCCACTTAGTTCTCTCCTCCGGTCCTCACCCATCCTGCTCTCTGCTAAGAACTTCATGCCTCCCCAGCACCTCCTCTCTCCCACGTCAATTACCCGTTTACCTTTAAAGACTCGTTCTCAAAACTAGAAAACTCACTGCCATGGAGTTGATGCTGACTCATAGTGACCCTAGATACGTTTCTGAGGCTGTCCATCGTTAAGTGAGCAAATCGCCTCAGCTTTCTCCCCTGGCACAGCTGGTGGGTTTGAGGGTACCCAACCTTGAAGCGAGCAGTCCACACTTACCCAACAATGCCACTAGGGCTCTTAAATATTCCTTCAGTCGAAGGAATCTCAAAAGAGCTAGTATATTTAAAGTGTTTAGAAGCATGCCGGGCACAAAGTAAACCCCTATATGAGTTAGTGATCATGATCACAATCACCGTTCAGGGAAGCCTTTTCTGACCCGGTGTGTGCACACCTGCTGCTCCGTATGACTTTACACCACTGTAATCCTCAATTTTCAAAAACGTGCCTCCTACTTAGACTGAGTGACTTCCCTCGTCAAGAATAGTACCTACCACTACTGAGTACCCAGCTCAACAAAGGGCTGATTAAAAACACAAAAAACCACACTGGCGTGTTCAACAGCTTTATCTTTCATTTCCCTATCCTATGTTTCAAGGAAACGCATTAGAAACGTATAAGATTAGAAATGGGCATAGAGGAAAACGGATTCTTGCATCTGACTGCACTCAGACACTGCTGATACTTGCCCTTCAGTGCTCTGTCGATGATGTGGATGGCCATTGTCATGAGGGTCCAGCACTTAGAACATATGTCTGCAGAACTGGAGCAGAGGTATCGTTATTCCCCGGCAGTGCTATCACCCACCCAACCCCGGGACCAGGCGCTTACCTACAACATCGCCTCACATCGTCATAGTCGGTCATGTCAATGTCAAACACCAGTTCTTTTTCCTGAGCCTGGAAAGCTCCCAGCTTCACTGTATTGTGCTGACTGGGCTGCAGACACAAGATATGGAGCTGTTTCTGTAGGCGCTACCATGCTGCTAACTCTATTTTCAACCCGCACAAAGAGAAACAAAGAAACTCCAATGCCAAGTCTTTGTCAGTTACGAAGTTCATTAATTTAGATCCCATATGCCAAGTGCTGATGACAGTTTGACTTTTAGCTCCTTAAAATAAGGTCTGATAACTACATATCCACCATAAGCACAAGGTTAAGCCAGAAAACATTCCTACTACAGTTCCAGTTCATAAGTACATGGGCTTATTTGTTTATTTTTAAAAAGTGTTTATGTCTCTGAGATTGGTGGATGGTTTTGGACTACTCTCAGTGACACACTTGTCTTGATTTCAGTATACCTTAAAACAAAGAAACAAAAAATCCCAAAACCCTTTGTGTCATCGGAAAAAAAAGATTTTGAGGTCAGGGCTATTTTTAAAAAAACTCAAGCGGACATTTCCCCAAATCAGTGAAGCCTTGCAACAAGTCTCTGGGAATGCTGCCCCAAACCAAAGTTTTCAGATGGACCAAGCATCTCAAGGAAGGCGGGGAAGACCTCAGAGATGAGCCGAGAGAAGGAAGGCCGTCAACCTTGGGAAAGAAGAGATTGTGCCCAACGCCTCGAAACTGATGGAGGAATTGCCATGAACCCGATAGCTGTGGGCATCGGCTCTCACAGGGTCTGGCACTGTCATGGTTTTACTGGTGCCAGAGTGTTGCACAGAGATCAGCGAGCTCGAGGGACTGATCTGTTAGTCAGTCTTTGAAGCAAGAGTGATGGTAATGAGCACCATTTTGGGGGAACGAATAACCAAGGATGAGACTTAGGATTTACTACATGAACAAGAAATCAAGCTCCAATCAATTCAAGGCAGAGAGGTCACCACAGAGGATTGGGGTGACTGTTTTGGGATTCCAAAGAGTAATCTTTTTTTTAAAAATCATTTTATTGGGGGCTCCTATAACACTTATAATCCATACATCCATCGTCAAGCACATTTGTACATTTGTTGACATCATTTTCAAAACATTTGCTTTCTACTTGAGCTCTTGATATCAGCTTCTCATTTTTTTACCCCCTCCCTCATGAACCCTTGACGATTTATAAATTATTTCATAATGTCTTACACTGACTGATGTCTCCCTTTACCCACTTTCTGTTGTCCATCCCCCCTTTCTCCCCACACCTCCCCCCTACCCTCCTGGTATGGCCACTCCCAATATTGGTCCTGAGAGGTTTATCTGTCCTGTGTTCCCAGCTCTGATCTGTACCAGTGTACATCCTCTGGTCTAGCCAGATTTGTAAGGTAGAATTGGGGTCATGATAGTGG